TATTGACTGGTTAGGGTCTTCCCCGAACCCTCATATTGTTGAGGCAAGTACCCGCTGGGTGCTGCTAAGTGAGAGACACCTGAGATCGCCCCAGGATCCATCCCATACAGCCAGCACCCCTTTGCCTAGCTTACAGCTGAGCAATATATTAACGTCCCACTGGCTTTGCTGACAGATAACACCCCTGACCTGTGGGTTAGGATAACAGTTACCTAGCTTCCTTTGCAGAATGTAAAGGTGTCTTAAAAAAAAACCAAACTAGCCCGCCCTCCCAAAGTCAAATGAAAGCCTGCTGTACTCTGTTGCGTGGCGCAGTCTGATGGATGTCCTCAGGCCGCCCTTCTCCCATCCCTACCCCCAGTGAAGCTTTGAATGTCTTATTCAAAATATGTGCCCTGGTCTCATTTCCATTGCTTCCGTACCGAGAGATCCCTTATTCCCACATCAGAATAAATAACTGAGTGCCTGAGAAGTCTTGCCTCCTCTTCAGGGTGGAGGTTATTCCATCCTGGACCCACCCTCCAGGGCCTGTATTATCTTGAGCAAGTCATTTAAAGTCTAACAGCGTCTTCTTCCCTCATGAATGTCCGAGAACATTAATTATAACTATGAGAGAGTTGGAGGTTGTCTAAAAACACCCACGAAAGCAGCAGGGCCCTCAACACATGTCTCCACCCCCCCACCCCCACCCCCCACAAAACAAGGGAAGGGCTAGCTTAACATCGTTTGTGGACTTTTTCTGCACACTGAAGAAGACGGCAGCAAGTGACGTCATCGCCTGCAGGAGTCACGAGGGCAAATCAGCACCCCATGCCTGAGGTGCGCCTCGCTTTGATCCTAAGAGAGGAGACAGCAAGGTGACCTCCAAGTTCATGGCTAGGACAAGCCAGAGACTATGATCTTTCACTGACTCCAAATGTAAATCCAGTGGTTAAGTTGTGACCTGGGTCATAGATCTCCCTTGTCACTGTCACAGCAAATGTGGTCACTGTGACCACGGCCATCTTCTCACCAGCTGAGAGGGCTGTTCCTGGCAGAGATGAAATCCCCTCAGGTCGCTTTGTTCCGGCCACGGCGGAAGCTGCGTTTGAAGTGGGTGACCTGCACATCTGACTACAGAGTCTGCACTATCCTGGAGTATGAAGGCCGCCTCCTGTTGGTTGGTAACTGTCCACTAGTCACGGGCACTGTGAACGGAGGGAGGCCTCCAGGAACAAAGTGTCCCCAGGTGAGGTTCATGGCCGTTGCTGGATACTGGTGAGGCCCTGTGCCTGTAACACGATGCCCCAGTTGTGACCGTGGGTTTTATTAAGTTATCATGGTAATGGCTGCCCACACGGCACCATTGAAGGACATTTGAGGCCAATCTTTAGCTCCACAGGAGGCAGTTATGACCAGCTGCCCAAGGATGTCATAAGAGCTTGGGCACGAATGGAACATGTCACTCCTACTTGACATCTGCCTCCCTCCATCAGGTAACTTGTTTGGTTCAGATTTCCCACAGTGCTATGGAAGAAATCACAAGGCTCAGGCAAGATTTTCCCCAATGGCCATAAGGACAACCTTGCATCATAGGCAGCTGGAAAGGGAGGGTAGCAGGACTCCAGTGTTTGCACAGAGCAGCACAGGATCTGTGGTTAACCGCAGCTCAGAGCTTCCTGCTCTGTTTATACATCATACCGGGGAATGACCCGCTATGCTCCGACAGAAATGTGGAGCCATGGCTTCTTCACCAGTCTTGTGCTATAGTTCTGCGGTCTCTGTGCCCAAATCCAGCTGCAATTTCCCCTGGCCACAGTCAGGACTTTTATTCTGACTGGGTGAGTGTTCAGCTCCCTCCTTGGACGAGGTTTGGAGGTCCACGCCCTTTTCAGCACTGGCTCTGCTCCCTCTTCTCCACGGGTTGAAGCTGGGGTAGATGCGGGTCAGGTGAGCTAACCCATGCAGTACACCCATGTTCTCTGGGTCTGGAGACCACTCATGGCTAATTCTTGTGGGTGGGCATGTGCGTGGGATTCTCTGTGTTCTGTGCAGGCCAAAGAGAAGCTATTATGGTGTCAAGGTCCCATTCTCCTCACAGTCTCCAAGTGTCCACTCCTGTGATCACCTTCTAAAGACTCCCTGCATCTTCCCAGTTGTATGGATGCATCCTAGGACTATCGTGTGTCTTTCCCCTGCCAGCATCTACTGGGTCCCCAAACAAACTGGAGGTTAAGGGAGACCCTAGCCAGCTGCATCCCTCTCAACTCAGCCATCCATACTCTGGATTTCCTGGGTATAAGCCAGTATTGGGCCCTGAAATGGTACTGTGGACTTGTAGAAAGAGCTTCAGGAAATGCTTGGCCCTGATTTGTTGCCCTGTCCCACTCCCCTAAATCCACTTGATCGAAATCTGCAGACTAAGCCTGTAAGTTTGCCCACAAGGCTTTCCAAATAAAAGATGGAATGTCAGCTAAACCTGAATTTCAGATAGTACTTTTTTCTTTTCTTTACTTTTTTTTTACTATTTGAATGTCCCTGCCATTGCATGGGATATACGTAAATGTAAAAAGTCATTTTTGATGGTGGCTCACACTTGCAATCCCAGCAATCAGGAGGCTGAAGCAGGATTGCTGGGAGTTCAAGGTGGGTTGGGCTAATTAGTGAGTTCAAGGACATCTAGGCTATGAGTGGCATGTCTTGCCCTGTACCTTCTTTTGAGTTTCTGCAGGTTCTTTCAGGCCCTGAAATTGCTTTCTCTTCTTTGATCCCAGTGTTCATCCAATTCTAGGGAGGAGAAGGAAGAAGGTGTCTACTATAGTCTAGGGCAGGCTTCTTGCCTTAGTTGCTGTTCTATTGCCATGAAGAGGCACAGTGACCAAGGCAACTCTTATAAAAGAAAGCATTAAATTGGATTTAATTGGGGACTCATTTACAGTTTCCGAGGGTTAGTTCATGACCATTATGGTGGGGATTGTGGCAGCAGAGAGACAGGGCTCCCACTAGAGCAGTAGCTGAGAGCGCACATCCTGATCCTAAGGTCACAGGCAGAGAGAGGGAGACTGAACTTCTGGCATGGGCATCTTTTGAAACCTCAAAGCCTATTCTCAGTGACACACCTCTTCCAGCAAGGCCACACCTACTCCCACAAGGTCACACCTCCTAATCCTTCTTAAACAGTTCCACCAACTGGGAACCAAATATTTAAATATATGAGCCTATGGGGGCCGTGCTCATCAAACATTCACATTTTTTGACTTTTTAAAAAAATCTGTGGCCGGGCGTGGTGGCGCACGCCTTTAATCCCAGCACTCGGGAGGCAGAGCCAGGCGGATCT